CTGCAATCCCCTCTCCTCCATTCTCCTCTCGTGATTTTGGGCACACACACACACAAACACACACACACACACACACACACACACACACACGCCTGGTGTGAGTTTTAAGCCACTGGGTCCAGAACTTGAACGGTGGTAGACTGGGTCCAGAACTTGAACCACAGTCGACTACATGGGAGTCCAGTGATATAACCATTTTGCCATTTGCTGGTCCCAATAATTATTATTTTTTAATTTGCTACAGGGCATGCATGCTCACCAGAGAGAGGCATAGAGAGAGGCAAAAGGAAAGTGAGAAAGTAAGCTGCCCGGTCCCGGAAATTTTTTTTTTTTAAATCAAAGTTCATGGTAAAGAATCTCCAAAATTTTAAAAGTTATCCATTTAAACTACACAAATAAATACTGCTTCAAAAATAATCAGCAAAATGTTGTTTTTAAATTTAGTAAATATTTATGACTCATAATTCTATTTGCATCTCAACTAGTAGATATTGGAGAGTCAATTTTTACATCCTAGTTATGACTTGATGTGTTGATTCAATTTATTTCTACAAAAGCGTTTAAATTACTGCAGTGAGTTTCTAAGTTTCTGCATGAATATAGCAGCAAGTGATATGAAAACTATAAATCAACACTCAAGACTGTGAATATTAATCAGAAATGTTCTGTGGAGCGGCTAGCAGGTGGTGTGGTGGTTAAGGCTCTGGAGTTCCACATAGCTGACTGTTTCGAGTCCTGGACCTGATGGTTTGCTTTGTCACATTCTCTCTCTCTCTCTCTGTCTATATGGTCAAATTAAAAGATAATAATAATGCCGAATAAAATTAAATAATCCTTTAAAACAAAATAAAATGTTCTACGGAATACCAATGTCATTGGTGATATGAGCTCTGGTACCTAATCTCCCTATTTTATTTGAAGTGAGGACAAATGCTTAAAAATAGTTTAAAGGTTTATAAAAGTTTTTAAAAGTTTGCTCTTGAATCTAGGGAAGGAAACTTCCATACGTCACAAAACTCAAGAAATTAGCTACATGAAAGTAGATTAGGGAAAAGCATTAGGAGCTATCTTGAGTTTATTTCCCAAGAGGAAAGGAGTGGCCTCGTGAAAATTGAAGAGGAGATCATCCTAGACCCCAAGGATAGAAAGGTAGAGTCTAGAAGCAGAGACAGATGCAAGGAGATGGGAAGATGCTTCCGTCATCCCTGTAACTGGAAGGCTTCTGTAGAGCTGCCAATTCTCAGGAAAAGGTGGAAGGCCATGGTAG